TATATATGTATATATATATATAAAAAAATTTCAAGAAGAATAACGAAGAGATTATTGAATATATAAGAATGATCCAAAATGATATTTTTTAAATGATTATCATATATATCTCCTTCATTTCTCTATCATTCATCTATCTAATCGATTCGGCGATTCTTAGTAATTATAAATATATCAGACGAGTTTTCGGAGAATTCTAATTCTAATATTCTTATTATTCCTCTTCTCGTATTTATTATAGAAAAGTAAAAGATTATATCAAATAGTATTCAATTATCTTCTATATCTTATTCTCAATTATTTTTAATTATGAATATCTTATATTTCAAAATTGATTAAATAAAATATTTCTCGAAAAACGAAATATATTATTAATTAGTAAAAGATATTATCTTACGACCCGACCGCCAATGAAATCCCTTTCCCCTCCCCCTCCTCGTCCTCCATATCCCGCCCTCCCCATTTTCCCTGCCCTCTCCCTCCCCGCCCCACCCCCTAATACTAATTATGAAATTCTTTTTTATGAATATAAATCGACCATTTGTGGAGTCAGTGGCAGCGATATCAATCGGTCTCTTGCGGACTCGAGCCTCGACCTCACTATAACTTATTCAGCGCGACCATCAATATCATCCGGTCCTATTTAATCAGACCCTCGCTTTTGTACCGGGCCGCGCGGACCTCGCCCAGATCTTTCAAACCGCACGTGCGCTTCGCGACCGCTCCGCACGTATAACGGATTTCGGGCCCGCATAGACGACCCTATAAACCAGCCGGCGAGCATCATGGTATCCCGGCGTGGTCGCAACAACCTCGACAGCACGATAACTTTATAAATTTTAAAATAAATTATAGAAATCGTTTTAGGATATTTTCAATTCGTTGTCTCTTTATATTTCTTCTCACAGGTGCAATCCCTATAATCAATCTCTATATTTCTAAAGATTATCAGAATCTATCAAGAAATTCTAATCTCCGTTTTTCAGAAGAATATATATTTTAAATAAGTTTCTCGAACGCGTCACGAAGGGTTCTTCTGTGCGAAGCCATTCAGAGAAGTATATAGCATCAAGTGCATAATTGATAGAGTCAAGTTCATCGAGCCAAGTACATAGTGTACAGAGTAAAGTATATCGAATCAAGTGCATAGTAATAGAATGAAGTTCATCGAATCAAATATATAATATACAGAATCAAATATATCGATCTGAATATATAGAATGAAATATATCGAATACCCGACTTATCTAGATCTGGATATATTTATATCTCGATATATTTTACTTATATCTCGATATATCTATCTATCTTTTTAAAGGCGGGGCGACACCGATGTCATCGATCGGGAATGAATTCTTACCATGGATCCGTATGGTCGAGTGCACGAACTCGAGGTAAAATTTCAAATTACCAAGGCCATACACAACCCTTACCATGGATTCGTGGGGTCGAGGGCACGAACACGAGGTAAAATTATAAATTGACGGTGCCACGCACAATCGAGATAAAATTATAAATTATAGGTGCCAAGCACAACCCTTACCATAGATTAGAACGCGAAATAAAATTATTACTAAGCTACTACTTTTAGGATTCCCGCACAAGCCTTTGCGGAGCTTAGTATAATCGAGCGCAAGAATACGAAATAAAATTACAAGTTCTAAGTGCCGCACATAATCCTTTTCAGATATTCGTGTGGCAGGAATACGAAATAAAATTACTATTTTCAAATATAATAAATTTAGAGTATAGAAACGATATATATAGAATCGAAGTATATATAGATCTCGTAGAATCAAATAAATCGAATCAAATATAAAATATATTAGATAATAAATATAGAATTATAATAAAATTCTATGACTCTATAGATACTTCACTCTCTAATTTCCAATTCAATATAAAATATAAAATTAAAATTTATCGATAGTAATATATAAAAATATTCTAAGCATCTATGCACTCGACTATATAATTCTATATATTTAATTCTATATATTATTTTCTAAACTTAATAATTCTATGCACTTGACTCTATGACTCTATCACTCTATATACTAGATTCTACGTACTCAAACTATACACTTAACTCTATAATTTTATGTATTTAACTCTATGACTTTACAGAGCGCTAAACTCTTGGCAAATGATGCTTTCGGGCCACTCGTCTTCTAGTTTTCGAAGCCCCACTCATATCTATAATTAATCAAACTCAATATTATTATTCTTGAAATATATCTATCATGTTATTTTCTGTTATAATTTCCACAATCGAGATCTAAATATAATATATCCAATATTTCTCATATTCTCGCTAGTCTCTAGTTTCTACCTATTCTCCTAAATATGTTGGTCTGATCTTCGGTATATCAACTATCGATGATCTCTGGAAGTTATATTAATTTGTCTCTATATGGAACTCGAGCTCCATATTTTGAACTAATTGAAGGTTGTTTGTATTGCCCAGTTTCGGGCACACGAACAGGCCAGCACAACGACACGAAAACACGTGTGATGGGTGTATCTAAGACACCCCGAATATGAGCAGCATCAACAGCCCCGCAGCGGAGGGGTGCTGATGTACCGTGCTGCTTGTGGACACCTCCGATGTTGCCTTAGACCGACGGAACAAGGCCGGACGAGGAAGCACATCTCATCTGCCACCTTGCCGTCCAAGCATCGTGAACATCAGACGTCGTCGTCGTAGTGGCTGGGTCGAGGCACACATAGGTAATTCCCTTTTGATCCTCAAGGGGCGCATGCATCTTTACCGAGCCACGACATCAGTCTCTACACATGCAGTTGCAGCGGCGGGCTGCAGCTTGTCAAGTTTCAACCCAGTTTCCCAAGCTGACCTACCCACGATTATGCAACGGATCTCTAGTGGCCCGAGCGCTCTCGAATTCAACATCGTATAGACAATAAGACAAAGGCGAATTCCGAACCGAGTCTTCAGGTTTTGGAAGAACTGCACCCAACTTCACATCACGGACATTCGGATTGGCTTGATCGTGCCGGCTTGATTAATGCTACTCTCAATCGAGATTTGACGGATTACAAGCACAGCACGAAAGCAGCCCCAGGCTTCACGGGCTTAGCTCAGTTGTATACTGCAAACTTCTGCTCTGATTTCGCATGTTGAAGTCGCCACTCTGGAAGTCTTCAAACTACAGAAAGAAGTCTATCAGGCGTTTGGGGCAGTCTGCTCCGACATCTTGCGTGCACAAGTGGAGCCCTCAGCCCTATGAGTTCGGGAGCAATTCCCAACACGGACACCTCCTAATTGGCTTGGATTTGGGGAAGGGTACGACAGGCAGACATGACTCATGCATGTATATGCACCTACGAACACATGTGCTAAACCCACATAGAACGTTCACATACCTGTTTGCGTTCATCTGTTTGCTGCTATACCAATTTTCCTCTGCATCTTCATCTTCACCATTTCCTAGTAATGTTCAACGTTCCCAGGTCATGCTCGCAGTTACATAAACCAGCATAGATGTGTATGAGATGGACCGCACATTTGGCTACCTCCATCGGCCTCTAGAGCCCAAGAGACCAGTCCCTGCTCGCACACGCGACACTCCGGGCTCGCCACCACTTCGCCCCTGACAGGCCGGGTTTAGGGTTCAGGTTTAGGGTTTAGGGTTTAGGTTTAGGGTTTAGGGTTTAGGGTTTAGGGTTTAGGGTTTAGGGTTTAGGGTTCAGGATGGTTTAGGGTTGGTGTTGCTTTGAGGCTCCGGAGTCTCAGGGCCGAGTGGTGTAGCTTGGGGCTGACTGGTTGAGGTCCCACCCTCAACCGTTGAACGTTGAGCAGGTTGTGCAGAATACCTCTGTCTTTCGATGCAATGTGTATGTATATATATATATACACATCCTTATAAACATCGCGTGCATGAAGTAAAAGACACAGAGAAAGAGAGAAAGAGAGAGAGCCCGAGAGAAGCGAGAGAGCGAGGCAGAAAGCGAGAGAGAAATGTGAAAAGAATTGGCCCTGACGAAGGTGACAGTCACACATCTATACAGTCTACACACTGTTTTCTGCCAAAGGTTGTCCTTGGGTTGGACGATTGTGATTACTTGTTGGTCATTTTGCCTAGCTGTAGTCATCTCTCGGCTCGCTTGTGCCCATACGTACCTGTCTGCTCGCAATGTCTGCTTCGCTGACGGCCTACAAGCACTATCATCCTCTTATTTTTTACAAGGCCGTGAAGGTGCTATTCGGAGGTCTTCAGCAGCAAAGGCATTCGGGTCATGCGCTTTCGTGTCGCTTGCTATGTAGAGACTCACTAAGCCACTAAATAAGAGCAAGCATGCTTATTGTTGCCGTATTGCTACTTAAATTGCTGCGTAAACTGCTTGCTACCGCAACCCTCCAGATTGATAGTCTTATCCTTATCCACTTCTGCGATGGCCACTGCCGCTGCTACTGATACTGCTGCTACTCGTACTACAACTACTACTACAACTACAGCTACAACTACTACTAGTACTAGTTACTCCTACTACTACTACTACTACTACTACTACTACTACTACTACCACCACCCTAGTACCTGCCTCTGACTCAAGGACTCTACCACTAATAGCACGACGACGACTACTAAAACGATTACCACAAACATCAAATCCTGCATCTTGCTCAGCTCAGCCTACATGGACCACCAGCCCATGGCTGCCGACGACTTGGCGGCGCAACACCCACTTCCCCCGCCTGCTCTGCATAAAGGTCTGGCGGTCAGCATCGAACAAACCCAGTCCGGGAGTGCAGATCGTCTCGTCGGGTTGCCACAGCTGCCAGGATGCTCTGTTTGCCTTCAATCGGAACCAGGGGAAGGTAATAACGAAAACCGGGGTCAGAAGTCGAAACGGGAACTGGGAAACTCCGGAACCATCTCGATAGCATCGAACATGGGATGCTGCACCAACGGAACTCTATCGGAGACCAGGATGAAAAAGAAACCTTCAGCTCAAAAACTCTCAAGAAATCCAGCAACAAGCAACAACCCAAAAGGTTTAACCCCACGCCCGCCGTTCCTCAAAATGAAAGACCTGAGGCTCTGAACCCGAAAACGTCGGACTTCTTTTGGCCCAAACCTTGACCACTCTGTTTCAGTTACCTTTCAGTGTCCTTCCTGTTGGAGGTTCAGGTTGGTTTCTTACGGGTTCACGGACAGCGTGCGCCCGGTTCCTTCATACACCCTTTCCTGCAGCCGGTGCTTGCCGGAAAAGGAAACTCCGAATCCCTAAAGCGGGGCTGGGTAACTGAGAAGTGACGCTGAAAAAGTCACTCGAATCTTGGCGCTGATATATCGCTCGCAAGTCGTGCCTATTTACCTGCAGCTTAACTACCCGGCCTGAAGCCAGCGGCAAGCCGCCTCGTGCACCCCAAAGTCTCCACTAAACTGGCCGGCGGCCCGCAGCATAGACTCCACGTCCTCTATCGGGAGACGGACCTCACGAAGGAAGCATTGGTGTGAACCCAGGAACGCCGCTCTCCTCAGAATCTACAGCAGAACGAAAGCACCACATCCGCAAGGGAAAGATCGGAGCCTTCTTGACGAGGTCCGCAGCATCCGGTGCCAAAAGCGCCAGGTCCTCTCAGGCAAGCGCAGGGTCAAAAAGCAGCCTGCCTGGATCCCGAATCAGAGGTCTCTAGGCCTCTAGGCTCGGGCTCCCTCTTCGTGTTCCTTGAGCCTTTGCCTTGGGAACCCCATCCTGGCTGATCATGTTCCAAATCGGGACGGGTGGGCCCGTAGAGGCCATGTCTCCTGCTCTCCACGCAACTGGGTTGTGGGGAGGGAAAGCTATCGGCACTGGCGACAAATCGACGAACTCAGTGGATGGTGTCCACCAATAGAAAGCACAGTTCACCTCTCGAACCAAACCGATGAAATCCGTCCATGTGCCAGCATTAGCCAGTGCCAGCGGCATTTGGTGGATGGTGGCCTTTTGCATTGTCTCGGGTAGGCTCCAAGAGCTGAGTGTGATAAATGGCACGCAAGAGTCTGCTGCCTCTCGGCACGATGGTGCCAGCCAGAAGTAGCCATCAGAGCAGTAAGCCACAGAGCCACCATCCGGCAGGCCCGACAGGGTTATTCCTCCGTCGTCATCCGTCACGCGGAGGTAGTTTTCATTCGCGGCTGTGCTCGTAAAGCCAGCACTGCATGAGGCGAGACGACTTCTGTCGATTGAGCTGATACTTTCAAAGTAAGCTGATACTCCAGCAGTGCTCCAGCCCTGGTAAGAGTCGAGATCGACTCCGTCCTGACGGGCTCGCTCACGGGCGCTCACCTTGTAGAAGATTTGATCTGAGCCGAAATGGCCCATGCTGCCGGCGCTAACAGGTGCATCAGATGCTCGCTCAGAGTGAATGTCCTGGAATGTAGCAGAAAGGTCCGACGACATCCATACAGCCATATTGATGTGCTGGTGAGTCGGCCGGATGCATGTCCCGTCGGTTGCACAACCCATCAGTGCATACATGCCGGCACGTGCATCCAATCCATCCTGTCTGGCGACGCTGTAGCCGAGCACTTCCTGCACTTGCTGGGGGATTGCACTGGTCTCCTCTGCCAAATCCCTGCGACAACTCAACGAGACGCCGCAACAAATCTGGGGACCTCTGAACGACATTCAGGCTTTATCGACCCGCCGTTGGCGGAGCAAAACATGTTGTCAACCTCAAACGACAAAGCAACCAAAAAGATCCTCTATGAGGATGTGGACCAGTCGCGAAGCCAACTGGGAAGAGACGATGTTGTCAAGGTACACGATTCCAATGGGATAGGATTCCCCACCTTCGCATGTTAGCCGAAGGGGGTTCGGGGTGTTCGGGCTGCCGGCTAAAATATTTCTGTACATAAGACTGCGCCACCTCGTGTCAAGTTTTTCCGCTGGCCGTAGCTGGACAAGCACCCTGATTGCCCACCAGCTGCAGGCAACCATGCCATGCAAAGCAGCCATGAACAAGAAAGGAAATGACCCGTCATTTCCGACATACCTACATCCTGGGCCTCGCACCATGTGAGCCTTGAAACTGGATGGAAAAATTGAGCTTGTGCTAAACGAAGCTTGATGTTGAGTTACAAGTTACACGTCTCCCACGGGAAGTATCTATGCAACACTCCCAGATTCTATGGGTGGCGTGGCGAGAGTGAGAGTGAGAGTGTACAAGTCAAGGCAAACGCATGAGTCTGAGTGAGAAGGAGTCGATGACGGCGAACGTGACTGACAGTGGGTCAGAGCGAATAGAAGTCAGACCGAGGTGGGATGTGAGAGAGTGTGTGAGTGACCTGACTGCCTACGTGTGAGTCTCGTGAGAAGCAATCGCACTATACAAAACTTGTTCAACCTGGAACTTCGCCTGAACTGCCTTCAGCACGAAACAACGAACGTGAGGTCTTTGAGAAAGCACACTTACCCAAGAAGCTCGTGGATGCCTAAGATCTGCACCTTTCCCGAACCTACTGTGAGCTTGCGTTTGAGGTTTACCTGCCCCCACATGCCAAGCCTACAGAAAACGCTGAACCGCGGATACAGCAAACCCATCCGCGAAACCAGGCGCTGCAGGTCTTTTCCCGCTTTGACAGTACATATATCTTGCACACAGCCGAGCCGAACTAACTCTGGCACTTCGTAGCTAGTAAGCTATCGAGGAGAGTGGCGCTCCGTTGCAATCGCACAAAAAACTGACCAAGCGCGCAGAAGCCTGGATCTGAAATTCGTCCCGGGAAGTCCGACACTGCAGTCCTGCAAACGAAGAGTGTGGCACACCGTCGCGCCACGACATGGCATTGTACTCCCAGAACGACCGTCCAGCCTGTCACGCGTGTATCGGCCATGCATTGAGGACTGTGTGCCCGTCAGGAAGGCAAGCCTTTGTGAGCCCGTGGCATGGCTAGCTTCTGGCATCGCCTCCCGTCTTTCACGGACGAATGGATTCGCAAATCTTCAGCCTTTCACCCGCGAAAATCCTGGAGAGAACAACCCAGTCTTGATGTCCCTGGCATTGCTGAGCCGCCATGAACGAGACTCGGCAACAAGGAGACCACAAAGGAGAGCACTTCTCTGGCATTTAAGTTTTAAGGAGACGCAAAGAGAAGGCTCAATGATATTCGTTCTGCCTCCGGCGGGCTTTCGGAAGTCTCCGAATCGGATTCCTCTGCAACTTTGGCACGAGGAGTTTGCAGACTCTTGATAGCAGTTTGTCCAGGCTGCAAATTCCATCTGGCTTTCAAGCTCCCGCCTGAAAGAGACAACGAAATAAACCAGCGCTTGCCACGAGGCAGCCTTGGCGGAACACTCCCACTTGCGGAAGAGATTTGACGCGCGCACCTGGCCCCGTGGCAGACTTTGCCTGAGACTAAGCACTTCCATCAAGTTTTGGTGCACTGAATGGAATCCTCTTGGCCATAGCAGCTCCCATCACCCCACACGGATCCTCAACTCCAGGATCGCGCAGTCGCAGGCGAAGAGCGGCCTGCAGCCGCAGCCGCTTTCGCATGTCCGGCCATGCAGTAGTGACACGGAGACCAGCGGCTGAATTTCTTTCACCGGGACTCTCCAAGTTGCAGCCTGCCTCAGCTGAATCCCTACAAGGTGCACGAGGAAGCTGCCCTGCTCAATCGAGGTGCCGAAACTCTGGCAACGAGCCAGATCTTGCTTCTCCGTAATGCTTGAGAATGCGCCCGAATGGCTCTGCATTTTTTGAAGCCTAAAGATGCTCTGAGGGTCCCCTTCTGCGAACAGCACAGCTTTCTCTCGCACTTATCAATCGCCTCGAAGGGCATTCCGAAACCTTCGAAGTGAGTCTTGACAGCAAGGCGAAGGTCAAACGCTGGTACCTGGGAGCCGCTTCAAGGTACCATCTGCAGCGAGTGCGAAGAGGTTCAGAAGCTGCAAGACTTCCAAGTTTTCGGCTCGAGGAGTTTGCAGTTCTTGTGCCTGGCTTCTTTGGGAGAGCACCCAATTTACATCTTGCGGTCAGCACACGGGGATGCAACAAGCTGCTTCGGATGGAGCTGACGCTTTCGTACGTCGCGTGACATATCTGAAAACCAGCGCGGATCATCCGCGCTGTGCCGGCAATAAACAGCCTCCAACCAGGAAGCAACTCAGGTCTTCCACCTGCCAAGCCCTTTATCGCCAGCACCGGCTCAACTCAGGCCACTGCGATGTGGGATGCTACCTGGAAGCTCGTCGGCCTTTCATGTCACAAGGGGCCTCCACTCGGCACGCCGGAGCAGTTGCTTCCTCCAGCCTTCAGTTTGACTCGCACAGCTGTCGGAGACAGTGGCAATTACAACAGCCAGCAAGCGGAGGCCTGCCGGACCCCTTCTCAGATTCAAAAGGATGCGCCCGCTCCGCTGGGGAGTACGTTGCAAAGCAACCCTCCCGGCTATGTCGCTTTAGCTTTCGTCAGTGTGACTTTGGGTGGAGACTGAGAGACAAAGCTGCTCCGGGATCTGGAGTCAAAGTGCAGGCAAACGCCGGCAAGTCTGGCACCTAAATTTTGGTGGTTTGCATCTGAGTGTTGGTTGAATGCAGAAGCTCTCATGACCAAAGTCGCGGTGGCTCGCACGAGTTCATCAACAGCTTCATAGTCTTTTGATGACTTTTGCACCTGCGACAAGAAAATGCCACCGAGGTCTTGACCTTTACCTTATCGTTGTCTGCGCAGACCTCTGTGGCATGGGACAGACTCAGTGACGGCCACCAACGAAACGCTTGCGGGGGCGATTCCGACTATGCCGACGACAAGATGCACAAGTAGGATCCCTTTCTGACTAACGGAACTGTCACCGGCCGATCTCCAACAGCCCAACATGTACAAAGCAGCATGACGCTACCGAGGCTTTGAGCATGTGACGCTGACGACTTGGGAGCTTTGGTGGTCAGGTCGCACCGATCCATAAAGACTGGAATGGATCGGCCTCAAGTCTCAAAGTGAGAGGAGACGAAGACATATGCGCTTAGCCTGCGGAAGAAGGAGCCAGGCAAGTCAGCGGGCGTTTCATCGCAGCCTCAACAAAGGGCGTCCAGGGTTGGAGGACCAGCGAACGGGCGGTCTGGCGAGAGCCAAAGCTCCGTCCGACTGGCCGCCTTTTGCAAGGCCAAGGCTGCCAAGGCCCAAGTCTGCAGCACCGTAGCGGCCCTCGAGCCTCAGGCAGCCCTTCTCAAAATCTGGGGCCGGCTGCGCACGCCAAGGCCCAAGTTCAGATGCCACAGGCACCAGCTGCCACGGTGCTGTTTCCAGTGGCAACAGGATGTGAGGCGACCACGCCGCAGTGCCAACCAAAACAATCGCAGAGCCCTGCGCTGTGCACGGCCTAGTTGTCTCAGACAATACCGAGACACAGACGAGGCCACAGAAACGCAGCAGCGAATATGCCATGTCGACGCGTGATGGAGTAAGCAAAGAGAGGCTGCAGAAGTTGCACAGTACAAAGCCGCAGTCGGATGTTGCGTAACGGCACAACATCTCCAAAATGCAAAGCGACGTTCAACCAGACTGCAGCAGGGCGCCTCCGGTGTTTGCGTCGGTATAAGCAGGCTTCCGTCGACATGCCAGTGTGCGGGGACTTCGGCCGAATGCTCTGAACCGAGCACCGGCTCTGCGGCAAAGCATTTGCGTACACCGAACAGCTTCAGCTGCTTCAACTTAATCTTGGCGTCCCACTGCTTTCCATGGCCACCTCAGAGGAAGACTGGGTCACGGCAGCAGCATCTTTCACGTGCTTCAGTCTCGAGCGGCGGCATGCTGCTCTCAGTAATGATCGCGAGTTTCAACATGCGCTCGCTCCTCGGGCTCCTTTTCATCGTTTTTTCCCTGGTGAAAGCTGCCATCAACGCCCTCGGGCTTGAGCAACCAAGCCGCCCTGGACTCAAGATGACGTCAGCCAAGCGGCCTTCGCATCAAAAGTCCTTTCACGCGCGGCTCGGGTATGCAGGAAGTGGCCCGAGAGGGCCGAATCGACGCAAGGCCCTGCTGCACGTTGGCCTGCGCCCGGCGCGGGTGCTTAGATGCAGTGTCCTTCGGAAGCCGCAAAACTGGATCCACCGAAACGGGTGAATTTCGGCGCACAAGCCCATGTCAAAGTGACCTGAGTCCCTTGGTGCAACGGTCTCGGGTCAGCAGAGTGTTCTCATGAACACCACAAGTTACAGAGGTCCTGCGATGGGCACTGTGCGTCTTCGAGAACGTCTGCTACCCTGCTACCCGCTGCTGTGAAGGCAGACATCACTTGCTCCTATACGTGGGGAGCTCCCGACGCAGTCGGAGCTGAGCACCTTCGCAGGAATATCCCAGCTAGGCGTGCTGCAGCTGTCTCGATCCCCACGAAAACCGTAAGCTTGAGGGCCACCAGAATCTCACTTGAATTTCGGGCCTTTCAGCCCCAATGAAACAGGTCTGGCTTTGCGAGAACCCCATAAAGCCTCAGCCTCCTTAGCCTTCTTTCTGGGATTTTGTAGGATCAATTCAGACCTGCTATGGGCAAGAATCGAGCAATTGCAAGGGATGCGCCACATCGCGGAGCAGCCTCCGCGCATCCAGGATGATGGCTATGAAAGCATACGGGAATGCATGTACGGTGGACTCACACAAGCTTAAAACCCCCTTACTTTAGCTAGGGCATCCCGGCACGATAAAGCCAGTGTCTTGAGCCTGCCATGTGACTTCCTTGTGACGGGAACGAGACGAGACCTTCCCTACCATAGGGAATGGGATCCCGAGAAACTCTTTTGGGTGCTTGGCCTTTGCAACGAGATCCTTCGGCCAGGAAGGAACCCCACGCAGCACATCAGGGCAGGTTGGGGCCTGGAGTTCCGGGCCATTCACAGATCAAGGGTCTATGGTGTTCTGACAGAGCACGTCATAACTTGCGATCCCGTCGCGGGCAAGGTTACCCTGTTACACTACTTCTCTTAAAGCTCATCATGCCGCACCTTTCTCGCAAAGCGAACACAATCCGTGCCTGTGCTTCCCCCTCGCTTGAACAAACTGCCGGCAACAAGGTGTGTGAATCTGACTCCTCATCGGCAAGGCTCGGTACCGAAGCTGTCTCAAGCCGGCACACTTCTTCCGACGCACCGGGATTTCAACATCGTGGCTGAGGCCTGAAATCTTCTGCCAAGGCGCCATAAGCAGGACAGAGTGCAAGCTCTCCCTGAATCCACTTGCGCACAGAACAGCCTGCTACAGCAGTGTCCCCGGCGACTCAAATCCCGCACAAAGCAGAACGGTGTAAAGGTGAAGTCTTGAGGCCAAAACAGATCCACGCAGACCTGAAAGGCTGCCGGACCCGAGAGCCAGGCTACATCTGCAGGCAGTGGAAGGTAGGCTTCTGCGTCCTTGCTTCGAATTGAAATGGAAGGCACGGGCCATGGGATCAGCTCCTGTACCTGTAAATGTAAGGAGTGGGAGCTTTGCAGTGAGCACCGACGGCTCTGGAAGAGCTTTTCCTCAAAGCCCATCTGAGCCAACAGCGGCAACGGCAACCAGATCAGAAAAGACGACTTCGTCTTTGAGCCATACATGGGAATCGCGTGCGAAAGAAGGGCCTTATGCATGCTGGCCCCGAGTTTTGGCACCTGAAGGGCCTGAACTCCAGTTTGACAGTTGGGAGGACGGCAGTTCCACCAGAGAGGCGATGGAAAAATATCCTGTCGAAGCTGCACGCGCAGAAAGCTGTGGCGTTTTAAGGCGTTGCACCTGCAACAGGGCAATCATTTCTACTCAGTCACTGGCAATCAAGTTATGAAGCGGTCGTGTGCGCATTGCTGAAGCAGCCGGGTCACGGCGTGGACGGCAGGAAGAGACCCCGAGCCACCTGGAAAGTAAACGCAGCAACCTGCAATCCACGGAAGCTTGGGTATCGCAGTCTTACGGCGACAGGACCCGCGCGCGCCACCTTGACTTGAGGCATCCTCGGGATTTCCCTATCGGCGACAACACATCCTCACAGAAGTCGGCCGGCTCAGGAGCCACTTGGAGCCTCTAAACTCCTTTCCAACATCACACTGCCCTCACCTCAACATCGCTTCTTGCAGGCGCGACAGCATCATCCGATGAGGAAACGGAGCCTTCCAGCTTGGACATAGTCACATAATCCGAACGATACAACTGCTTAATTTCAGCTTACGGTACCCACGTGAGCCAAGAGCTGGATGTCAGTCACTAAGTCAACGCTGACATCAGCCGGCTGCTCCGAACGGAACGAACGGAACGGTCATATCTGACACACTTCGGACCACCGCCTGGTCAGGGGGCCCTTGCAAGGAGAGGTCCGAAGCTGAGTGCTTGCGTGAGAGGCTTTGCACCAGCTTTGACGACTAGCAGAAGCGGACTCCATCCGACTTCAGAAGCGGACCTTGTCCAGGTAGGGGCGGGCGGCCAGCAAGCTGCAGCCACACATTGCGGCCTCAATCGGTCTCTGCAGGCCATACAGCACCTGGGCACTAGAAGGCCTGTAACAAGGCCAGATCACCTAGTGCAACTTTTCGGCAAGTTTCGTACAGCACGTCACAAGTGCTCTCGATAGGAGACGACAGCTTGCACAGCACGCCGAGATGTTGTACGAAACTGTGGTCTTTCTCAGGGCAGACCTTCCGCTTCACGGATGCTGGTAGCGCTGGGAGGTGGCCGCCTTTGCTTCCCTCCGAGCGGAAGGGCAGCTTATGCTTGCCACCGAAGACGCAGAGACGATGCAAAGAATGGGAAGGCTGCCCATGAGCCGCATCACGGTGATATACATTCAGGAGGCGAGGTCCCTCCAGTTCCTACCTCAAAGACCTGAGACCGGTTGCCACGACAAGGCCATGCAACACTTCCATGCCGTCCTCTCCGAAGCATCCTTCCTTGGCAGCATCGGGGTTCATTGTTCGCCCGAGCCGAGGCCCCCGCTCCAACAGCCAAAACGCCCCGCTTGCACCCACATGTCTTGACAACTTGCCTGCGCCTGCTTCGAGCATCAATGCGCAGCTCGTGCTGACAAAAGACTGTCTCATTGCTCTAATTGCTGACGGCTACACTGCATCCTGAGCAGGGGTCATCGATTGTCGCCTGGTGGCCACCCACGAAGTGCAAGTGCCG